ATGGACAACATGTCTTTATTTTTTATTTGATTATTTTTATGTGGTGCAAAGTACCTCATGCATGCTAGGCTACAGACCCAGCCCCTGTTTTTTGTTTTTGTTTTTAATTAAGATGAGTTCTTTCTTTCTATTTATATTTCTATTATAAATATATTCTATTTATATTTCTTTCTATTTATATATGTTAGCAGAATGCATTACAATTCTTATTACACATATAGAGCACAATTTTCATATCTCTGGTTGTATGTACAGTGTATTCACACCAATTCTTGTCTTCATATCTATACTTTGGATAATAATGATCATCACATTCCACCATCATTAATTACCCCATGCCCACCCGCTCCTTCCTTCCCCTCCAATCCCTCTGCCCTATCTAGAGTATGTCTTTTCCTCTCATGCTCCCACTCCCTGTCCCACTATGAATCAGCCTCCATCCATTTACCTTCAAATGCCATGATTTTATTCTCTTTTATTGCTGAGTAATATTTTTTTCACTTCAGACATCTAGTTTTATGCTTTCATGTAATTGGTGTAATAAATAAATTATTTTCTTGAAGAAACAAAATCCAGATGCTTCAAAGTAGTGAATGAGGGTGAATCTCCTCTTGGTAGGGGAGATTGTACTATATAGTCTCAACCCTTAGCTCTGAATACTATCCTTGGAGATTATTTTAATGATTGTATTACCGCTGGCTTTGGAAGGCAAAGATTGGTTGTCTGCTTTCATTTTTTTGCCCCTTATATGAGTACATGGCTCTTTCTTGAACACCATTTAGTTCAACTGAGACCCTTAGTGTCCTAGTTAAGTTTTACTAAAGTTTAGAATCAGCCTCCTTATATCAGAGAAAACATTCAGCATTTGGTTTTTTGGATTGGCGTGCTTCACTTAGCATTATATTCTCCAACTCCATCCATTTACCTGCAAATGTCATGATTTTATTCCCTTTTATTGCTGAGTAATATCCCATTGTGCATCTATGCCACATTTTTTTTTTTATCCATTCATCCACTGATGGGAATCTAGGTTGGTTCCACAGCTTAGCTATTGTGAATTGTGCTGCTATAAACATTGATATGGCTGTGTCCCTATAGTATGCTATTTTTAAGTCCTTTGGGTATAGACCGAGGAGTGGGATAGCTGGGTCAAATGGTGGTTCCATTTCAAGTTTTCCAAGGAATCTCCATACTGCTTTCCATATGGGCTGCACCAATTTGCAGTCCCACCAACAGTGTACTTTTTTCTTCTACATCCTCACCAACACTTATTGTTGTTTGTCTTCATAATAGCTGCCATTCTGACTGGAGTGAGATGAAATCTTAGAGTAGTTTTGATTTACATTCTGTAATTGCTAGTGATGATGAACATTTTTTCATGTATTTGTTGATTGTATATTCTCTTCTGAGAAGTGTTTGTTCAGGTCCTTGGCCCACTTATTGATTGGATTATTTGCTTTTTGGTGTTTAGCTTTTTGAGTTCTTATATAGCCTAGAGATTAGTGCTCTATCTGATGTGTGAAGGATAAAGATTTGCTCCCAAGATGTAGGTTCTCTATTCACCTCTCATATTGTTTCTTTTGCTGAGAAACTTTTTAGTTTGAGTTCATTCCATTTATTGATTCTTGATTTTAATTCTTGCACCACAGGAGTCTTATTTAAGGAAGTTGGGAGTTAATCCCCCATGATGAAGATTAGGGCCTACTTCTATTAGGAATTAAACCAGGGACCCTATATCTAAGTCTTTGATCCATTTTGAATTGAGTTTTGTGCAGGGTGAGAGAGATGGGTTTAATCTCATTTTGCAGCATATGGATTTCCAGTTTTCCCAGCATCATTTGTTGAAGAGGCTGTCTTTTCTCCAATGCATGTTCTTGGCACCTTTGTCTAATATAAGACGAGTTCTTGAAGGGAATCTAGAAAGTAGGTTCATTGGTTTAAAAAAAAATTAGATAAACAGCACTTAAGGCCCACACAAGATTGGATCACATTATTTCTTTCTGTGTATTTACTTTCTGTAACTGTGATGAAGACTTATTCTTCCAGAGAAAAACTTAATGTGAATAACCACAACAATAATAATAAAAATTACCCTTTGATGTACTCTTTCTTTTATGAGCCAGAGAGCATGTTAATATATGTTTATTATATTTTTTCATTTCATTCTAATTTTCATAAAAACATTATGAGGTATATATACTGTATCTCCTTTTTAGAAAGGAGGTAACTTGGGTGGATATAGCTCAATGGTAGAGCATGTGCTCAGCATGCTTAAGACCCTGGATTCAGTCTCCATCACTCAAAAGTGGAAAAAAAAAATTCTTAAATTAAATAAAAAATGAGGTAACTGAAGCTGAAAGAAAGTGAAATAATTTCAAAACAATTTAATTCTACAACTGATATGTTGGTTCTAATAATGACTTATATTAAAAATAACTTATAGGAAAATGTTCTCTCATTAACCTATTCAGTTTTAATAAATTAAAATAGATAAAAAAAATAGACTTTTAAACTTCTCTAAAGTATGGCCTTGCTCTTAACTCCTAGGAGTGATTTCAGTATTGGATCATACCTCTTTGAAAGGAAGAACTTGCCTTTTAAAAGTAAATTAGTTAGTTGGGCATGGTGGCTCATGCCTGTAATCCAGCAGCTCAGGAGGCTGTGGCAAGAGAATCACAAGTTCAAAATCAGACTCAGAAACTTAAAGAAGCCTTAAGCGACTTATCAACACCCTGTCTCAAAAAATAAAGGGCTGGGGATGTGGTTCATTGAAGTACCCTGAGTTCAATCCCTGGTACCAAAAGGAAAAAAGAAAAATATTTATTAATGATCCTTCATTTACCTGGAGTTCAGATTTTAATAACCTTTGTTAATCTGAAATAGTACAAAACTTGGCAGTTGAAACAACCCACATAAAATGGAGAGCTTCTAATCAGTTGGAAGGACTGAAAAAAACCAACATCCCATGATTATGTGTGCTCATATGTGATTAACAAACATCAGAGAGTGTTGGCAGAAATTTGTGAACAAAGGCAGAAAAGGTTGATAAAACAACAGAGAAGACAGTTGGATAACCAAAAAGAAAAAAGAAAACTAGGGCATCTGCATGCAGACAGCATAGATGACCTATTTCAGTAAGTGCTTTTTGAGGCATTGTTATTTAAACAACTAAGATTAAATCAGAGAACATAGTAAAAATAGTCTTGTTAGTTATGTTTACTTCTGAACTTATTGGGTCCTCTGGCAAAAGCACATTTTGTTGATAGGAAATTCAAGTACAGATTGAATTTAAGAGAATATCTGATGATGAATCATATGGAAGAATTGTAAAGTCATGGGTTTTTAGTCAGATGATTTAGATTTGAACCCTACTGACTCAGTGTTTTGTCATTAAGTCATTAAAGATCTCTGGGCCTCATGTTTTTAATAAGAATTATATTGTCAGCAGTCTGTGAGTTTATCTAGTTTTGGTTTATTTATTCTTAGACCACAGGTTAGACTGTCACATCACCAGCACTCTCACCATTAATCCTAAGAAA